TGAAAATACAACCTAGGGTGCAGGAAAAACAATTTGCCAGCTACTCCATAGTCAAAGGACTAATATCTAAAACACATAAAGAACACCAGCAGCACAATGTTGCATACCTAAATCCCAGCACTCAGGAGGCTCAGACAGGAAGATTGTCATGAGTGAGGCCAGCCTAGACTACACAGTGAGTTCAAGGCCAGCCTGGAGTACACAGTGAGACCTTGTCTCAAAAGAAGAAAGGAAAGGAAGGAAGGAAGGAAGGAAGGAAGGAAGGAAGAAAGAAAGAAAGAAAGAAAGAAAGAAAGAAAGAAAGAAAGAAAGAAAGAAAGAAAGAAAGAGAAATTTTAAAAAACAATCAGACACCAAAAATAAAGCACCCAATCAAAAAATAAAATACACAATTGAAGTGAATAGACACTTCCAGAAGTAAAATTGCCAAGCAAATACATTTCTAAAATATTCAGCATCCTTCACTATTACAGGAATGCAAATCAAAACAAACTGACACTCCAGGTTACTCCAGGAAGAATAGCGATCATCAAGAACTCAAGACTCAACCAGCGTTGGCAAGGTTGTAGGGGAAAAAGAGCCCTTTCACACAGCTGGTGGGAACATAAGCTGGTACAACTACCATAGAAATCAGGATAGAGAGTTCTCACAAAACTAAAAGTAGAAATTCCATTTTATCTTGGATATCTTCCCAAAAGAGAGCAAAAGAAATGAAGAGTAATAAGAGCAATATCTTCTTCTTGGTATCTTCCCAAAAGAGTTAAAGGCATCACACCACAGCAATCCAGGCAAAGCCACTGTCTTAATTACCTTTCACATTGCCAAGACAAAATGCCTGAGTTAGGAGGGAAAGGTTGACTTAGCTCACAGTTCATAGCAGTTTCAGTCCGTAACTGGCTGGCTTGACAGCAGGGTGGCTTCACAGAGGAGAAACAGTTCACAGCAGGCAGAAGACAGCAAGGGCAATAAGGGATGTTAACAGTGTCATGTTGCCCCTTTTATCTTACCCCAACTACTCAGGGTGGGTAGCGCTCACGCCCTCAATCCTAGTGTCCTTGAGCCTAGCGCTGCACCGTGAGTCCTTTCCAGCATCACACTGCAGATCCAGGCACCTGTGTGACTGCAGAAGATGCTGGGGCACATCTAGACACAGCCGCAGCACACTGCCCCTGCCCGTCCAAGCACTCACACTCTTCCCTTTTTGTAAAAGGCACTTGGCTCATCACTAAGAGTTGCCAAAGTCCTAACAGTTTCAGCATTGCTGAAAAGTCCAAATCTAAAGTCTCCTCTAAGATTTAAGGCAAACTATTAGCTGCAAGCCTCTATACAAATAAAAAAAATAAAGTTAGACACTTCCAACATTCAACAGCATAGGACAGACATTTCCATTCCAAAAGTTACAAACAGGGGTATAGAAAGGAACAGGAACAGAGCAAACACTAAATCCCACAGTTCCCTTTCCAGCATCCCCAGCAATCTGTGGCAAGTTGTGAGCTCCAGAGGACTTGGGTGGCTCCACTCCTATGGCACTGACAGTGCCTATAGCCCCCATGGCTTTTCTCTTTGGCTCACACTGCTCACTCCTTTCAGTTTTTCTTTGACAATCCATGTTTCTGGCTTCTCCGAGCTTCTCTACCCTCCAAGAAGCCAGTTCCAAAGACTCTTGTGTCACATGCCCAGGAACTGTCACAACAACAACCCCACTTCTCTGGTACCAATTTCTGTTTCAGTCACTTTGCTCATTGCTAAGACAAAAGACCCAAGATCCAAAATTTAAAAAAGAGTTTGTAGACATTTCATCCATAGTCATCTGGCTCCAAGGCAGGATGGCACGACAGACAGGCATTGAAGAGGGAAGAAGGTAGCAAAGCAACAAGAGATAAGACAAACATATTTCTATCTCTTACAATGTATCCAGGCTACCAGGATTATGGTGGGGCCAACCCAGTCCATGAACTGATTTAGTAAACACCCACTTTTAACCCTAGCATCCTTAACCTTAGCATTGCACTATGAACCAATGTCAGTATCCCACACTAGATCCATCCACCACCAAAAAAGCCCCACCTGTTACTACACAAGGCTTTGCAGGGACATCTGGATGCAAACCATAACACCCATGTATATAGCAGCACAACTCAGGTTAGCTGATTCTATCATCAAATGCATGAATAAGGAGTGAGATAGATAGATAGATAGATAGATAGATAGATAGATAGATAGATAGATAGATAGATATTCAGCCCTAAGGAAGGATAAATTTGAATCATTTTGAGGAAAATAGATGCACATTAAGACCACAGTGCTAAGTAAAATAAACCAGATACAAAAGGTTAAATATTGCATAATATTCTCTATATGAGGAAAATCCAAAGAATAATTAATTAAAATAGCAGAATAAAAGTTGGATTATAGAAGACAAGGGAGACTTGTAGCAAATGGGGAGGGAATCTAAGGAGAAAGGAAGAGGTGAAGAAGGGGAAGGGGAAGAAAAAGGGGTTAAGACACAATATCTGTATTTACCAGCTCTCAAAGATGAATGTTGTACTGTATATTTTTATGTATACAAACACGTACTAATAAAATAAAATATGTAAGATAATCCCTTCTTGGCTTGAAGCAAGCAAAGATTTCTTCCACAAGTCCCAAGAAACTGACTTTAACATAAATCATTCATAAGTTACACTTACTTAAAATTGAAAACTTTGTTCCCTAAAGACACTAGTAAAAAACCAAAAAGAAAATCCACCGTATATGTAAAAATATTCACAACACATATACCCACAGAGTTTTCCTATGTAGAGCACATATAAAGAATGTTTGATAATTAATAAAGATACAAACAATCCCCAAGTTTTAAAAATATACAAAATAGCAAGAATTTTATAAAAGAAGATATCCATATGACCAATAAGCACATAAAAAGCTGAAAATTATTGTACATCAAAGAATTACATAATACAACCTCAGTAAAATACTGGTATGTACCCATCAAAATATGTAAGATTTAAGAGAAAAATCAATTACATTAAATATTAAGAAGACCATATTGATGGAAATTTTTACTCATTGTTAATGGAACAAAAATCAGTTCCCCATTTTAGAAAACTGGTGATGTCTATTAATTCTACCCCAAGACCCCAAAATTACACTACTATACAAGAGAAATGAAGCAAAGCCAATAAAAGGTTTGGCATGGTTCCATCATGTCTGTATAACTTAGGGAAGTTGACAAGTCAGGGCACAGGTAGTATGTCCCCAACAGCTATAACTTGTCCCTTTTTCTTTTTTTCTGAATTTTTAGGGCAGGGTCTACAGGGTCTACAGGGTCTCACTACGTAGATGGGACTCATAGTGATTCTCCTGTTTTCAGCCCCCCAAGTGCTGGGATTACAGGTGTGTACCACCACACCCAGTCTCAATCACTGGTCTCAGTGTGCCCCGTGGGCGGGGCTGGCATGGCACACTGGGGGTCAAACCCCTGCCACTGCGCTCTGCCTAAGCAGGCACTTAAGTCTGCTGAGCTATCAGGCTGGCCCTTATAACTTATCACTTTTGCCTAAAGACTCATATTTTAATTCTTGTCTGCTTTGTAGAATATCAAAGAATATTCTGTCTCTTTTCCTCTCTCTCTCTCCCCATCTCTCTCTGCTTCTCTCTGTCTCTGTCTCTCTCTACCTCTCTCTCTCTCTCTCTCTGTCTCTCTCTCTTTCTCTCATTTTTGCCTTTGCACTAAGATATATCTCCAACCCTTTTCTTATTTTTTATTTTAAGACAGGGTCATTCTCAATCACTAAATTACCCAGCCTGGTTCAAACTTGCAATCCTCCTGCCTCAGTTTCCCTGAGTGATGGGATTACAGTTCTGTACCACCATGGCTGGCTTCAAGGAGATTTCAGAACCAAATTGGGTATAAGTGAAGAACAAATATGAAAGTCCATGTCAACAAAGATAATGAAGGAAAAGAATGGAGACCAACTCTGTTAGCTTGCTGACTCCGGCTGCTGGCCTGCTTTACCCAACCCTCTTTTAAGTTGCTGAGCAGACGGGGTATAATTCACCATCTAGAAGAGCATCCGTGTTCTCCTAGCCCCAGAATGGGACCCCTAGCCGGGCTCCCCATGCTCAGAACAGAAGTCAGAGCAGCAAGTTCTCACCCAGGGCACAGAAAAGAGAAGTGAGAGGATTTGCAAATGCTGAAAACCAGTATATGTATTTTTTTAAGTCTTCTTTTTCAATCTCCAAAGTTTCTCAACTCTCGAGGGGATGGAGGCAAGCAGCTTGAGGAGAAGAACCCAGCCCGAAGGGCCAGAGGAATAAGCAGCCCAGGAAAGGGCAATGAGAAGCCGGCACCCAGAGTCTGCAGAGGACAGGACCACGAGCTCACATAAACAAGAGAACAGCAAAGCATCCCCGAGCAAAGCGAAATCGAGTCATTTCCAGGTGAAATGACATCGCTGATCTGTGCCTCTTTAGTGCAGGGAATGCAGAGACAGGGTGAGGAAAAGCAAGAGGTTCCCAAGCTGCTTTCCTGCCTGGAGATTGATTGACCTGAGACCTTGACTGGACAAAGTTAGACCAAAGCCTTGTCGACAGGCGAGAGCCAAATGTCTACATTACATAGGAGGGAGAATGTCCTTAGTGGTTCTGAAAGCAGTGAGAGAGGAAAGAAAGAAATCTCCAGGCACCTGAGGCCCAAGGCAGGAGCCAAGTTGATGAAAACAACCAACCTTTCAAGGGGGTACGAGGTTTTTGAAAACATGCCCCCAGAATACTTTGACAATCCTCCCATTGAGAGCTGGGGTCTTTGTTCCCATTCCTTGGATCTGGGACATGGGTCTTTTCAACCAACAGGATCCACAGAAGTGATGCCACCATCATGGAGGCCAGGCCACCTCATCCAGACCTGGCACTTGCTGCCCTCACCTTACCCCTGCCACTCCTCCTCCTCCCCGTTCTCTCTCACTCTTTCCCTCCCTCCCTCCAGGGGTCAGACCCACCTCCCATCACAGCCGTGGCCCTCTGAGCCGTAGTGTATCAAATGGACCCAAACGACTTCTCTGACTTCGTTGGTACGAACAACACACTTTGGTGTCTGTCAGATGATTGGTGGCAGGATTAGGACTGACTAATGGTAGTTCCAAGAAGGTCTCTTCCAGACCAGAGCACCCGTTCTGGAAAAGTCCTGCATCATAGTGTCAGCCAGTGTCATTTGACTCTTTATTCAGGTTTGGTTTTATTGCTGTAATTCATATGGGCACTTTGGGAAAGAAGGATTGTCCATGACCAGGTTGGACTGGGCTCTCCGGGGCCCTCCCTCATAACATCACCCGTGATGCTAAAGGCCCAGTGTGGTTCCTGACTCACAAAAGCCACTTCCAGTCCCTCCCAGGCCTCCCGGGCAGTGAGAGCACTCAGCCTGCGTGCAAGCTCTCTTCTCCCACAGGCCAGCCAGGCTGAGGTCAAAACAAACAAAAACTTTGGACTCTGATATGATCCTTGATGCCTGTTTTCTGGCATGTGGGAGACTCCGCCTCCAGCCCTGGCAGATGGGCTGCAGCCTGTCACCGCAAGTCAGGGGATGGAGTAGACAGAGTCTTAGTCACAGGGTGTGTGGAAAGCCCTAGTCCAGCAAATGTGGGGGCAGAGACAAGAAGGATGGACATTGGAGGGTGTGGAGGCCCCGGGCTCAGGCCCCAGGAAAAGTGGTTCCCTTGGTGCTAGTTGTCACGAGCCACCCTGAGAGACCTCTGTGAAGCCAGGCACGTTCTACATGAGGAACAGCTCTCCACAAACTGTTTCTCAGGTACTGGAGACTAGAAGCAACTTTCCATCACAGCTTGGTTTGGTCTCCAGTGAAATCCCTCAGCTCCCAAAGCAGCAGAGTCCCCTGCAGTGGTTCTTGGACTACAGAGTGCTCACAGAATGCAGGGCCAGGCTTCCTCTGTCTGTGGCCCTCACATAGGCCACAGATGGCCAGGCGCTGCTAGCAGCATCTCATGACCCTGACAGGAACTCACACCCTCAGGATGGGGTAAGTGCCATCAGAGCAGCAAGACGGAAGGGACCCCAGGGCCCCACATCCTGTAGCCCCACGGGGGCGGCAAGGTACTGGGTGATCAGTGGCTAAATACGCTAGTCTGCAATGTGAGCAGAGTGTAGTATGTGGACAAAAGAGCTTTGGAAGAAATAGGAAGAAAAAACCATGATCAGTTTAAGAAGGAGGTTTTGAAAGGAGTAAAACTGTCACTATTCATACACATGATCTTCTATACAGAATATCCTACAGATGCCACCAAAACAACTTATCAATAAGCTTAGAACTTATCGATAAATTTAAGAAAATTTCAGGATGTATAATCAATATACAAAGTCAATTTCATTTCTAGATATAGCACTGAAAAACAAACTATCTGAAAAAGTTTTTAAAATACTCCCATTTATAATAGCATCTAAAATAAAAGTTAATAAATTTAATCAAGGGGGTGAAAGATTAACACATGACAACTATAATACATTGATGAAATAAATTCTACAAGGCACAGATAAACTGGAAAATACCATGTGTTCATGGACTGGAAGAATTATTGCTGGAGAGACAGGAAGGAAGGAAGGAAAAGGGGGAGGGAAGGAGGAAAGGACAAGAAGGAAAGAAGAAAGAGCTTAAGATGGAAGAGAGAGAAGGAGAGGAGGGAAGGAGGGGAGGCGAAGGGATGGGAAGAAGGGGTGGGAAGGGGAGGAAGTTTAAGCAGGACAATGTGACACACTACTGTAAATCCCAGCATTTGGGAAGTTGATGCAGGAAGATTTCTGTGAACTCGAGGTCAGCCTGAACTACACAGTGAGACTCTGTCTCAAAAAACAAACAACATGAAGAATATTTTTCTGTCCTTGAAGCCTAGTAGAGATCCATTCTCAGGACTGGTCAATTCTGGAAGCACCTTTACCAAAAGAGCCACATTTAACAATCTCTTGCCACAGTGAGGCAGAGAATTGGGCACTCGGATTTCAGAAAGGAAGAGAACCAAGGGGAGGTCTCAGGCAGCAGAAGCATGCTCTAAAAGGAGCAACGGTTAATTACAATTTGCAAAGCTTTCATCGAAGTTTAATTCTGCAACCAGGAACAAAAAAGCTAACTATTCCACAGAGAGTGTTAAGCACTTGAGTGCAAGACATTTTGTCTCGGTACAGGTAAAAACAAGAATAAAATGAACTCAGCCAGGCATGGCGGTGCATGCCCATAACCCCAGCACTTAGGGGGCTGAGGCAGGATCACTATGAACTGAAGGCCAGCCTGGGCTACAAAGTGAGTTCAAGGCCAGCGAGGGAGCGAGCGAGCGAGAGAGAGAGACAGAGACAGAGACAGAGACAGAGACAGAGACAGACAGAGAGACAGAGAGAGAGAACTAAAATGAATTCAAAAGAGGGTCAGAAAAACTAGGAAAATCCCCAAAATAAGTCTCTTTACCCAAAGATTTGCTTCCTAAATAAAGATTATAAATTAGAATCCTATTATACACTTATTAAGAAAAAAATACACTTATTAAGGACAAAAGCTGTTCTGTTATTTGTTAATTTTATGATAAACGATAAATCTGGTTTGAAAAAAAAAAAGGACAGGGCTGGAGATTTAGCTCAGTGGTTCAGCGCCAGCCTAGCAAGATCCTGAATTTGATTCCTCATAACAAAAATAAATAAATAAAATAAAAAATAAATGTGTTACACCCAAAGTGATTCAATGCCATCCTGATCAGAATTTCAGTGAAACTTTTCACAGCAAACAAAAAGAAATCCTAAATATATATTAATATGGAGCTGCCCAAGGCCCCGAATTGCTAGAACAGTGTTGCACAGAGCAAACGTGAAGGCATCATACTTCCTGATTTCAAATTTACTACATCGCTTTAGTAATCAGAACAGCTATGCCACTTACATGAAAATGCAAAACAGGCAAATCACACAGAGCAGCAAGTCCAGAAATAGAACTCCACACGTACAGCCCACCAGTCTTCAATAAAGGCATCAAAAATACCCAAGAAGAAAAGGGCATTTTCTTCAGTAGTGGAGCCAGGAAAAGCAGACAGCCAAGGCAGATGAAAGAAATCGGACCCTTAGTTTATGCCACTTACACTGTGTGCACAAATCAATTCAAAACCACTCAGAATTGAATGCAGAAATGTTCTAGAAGAAAACAGGGGGTGGAGCAGCATACCACTGGTCTTGGCAATGATTTTTCAAATAGAAAATCAAAAGCAGAAGCAACAGAAGCAAAAATAGATAAGTGAGATTACATCTGCACAGCAAAAGAAATAATCAGCAAAAGCCAAAAGGTAACCTATGTGAAGAAAGTATCTGCAAACCATATGCATGATAAAATATGTAAGGAATTCATACAATGGAAAGGCAACACACAAAACAAACCCAGAGACCAGAAGGTCAGCCTACAAAATAGAACAAAATACTTGCAAATCATATATCTGATAAGATGCTAATATCTGGAATATCTAAGAACTCCTACAACCTGACAACAACAGTATACAAACAATTCAATTAAAAACGGGCCAAGGATCGAATGAGACATTTCGCCAATAAAAATATATGAATGCGTTAATCAGTCCATAAAAAGCTGCTCAACACTATTAATTATGGCGGGAAATTTAAAAAAATCAAAATGCCAACGAAACACCACTTCACACCTGGATGGCTACAATTTTTTAAAGAAAAATAAAAATAAATGCTAATTAAACTTCATTTGGAGCGCATGAAAATCCTTTATTCTGACAAAGTCTAATGTACCTACTTTTGCTGCCCATGATTTTGGTGCCATTTCCACAAACTTGGGCAAGTTTCAGTGCTGTGAACATCATCAGAAAAGTTTTCTTCTAAGAGCTTTATATTTTGGCTCCTAGGTTTAGAATTCTGATCCACTAATTTTTATATGTAGCATAAGGTAAGAGTCCAATTTTTTCTCCTTTTTCTCCTCCTCCTCCTCCTCCTCCTTTGCTTCATCCGTGCATGCGGACCACCCGTCTTCCCACTACCATTTGTTGAAAAGGCTTTTACTTCCCCATCAAGCACTCTTAGCATCCTGCTGAAATCAGTTGACCACACAAATGAAAATGTGTGCCTGGGCTCTGCTCTGTTTCCGTGGTGAACAATGTATCATCACGGCAGCACCACACTGTGTCATTGCATCGTGGAAGTGGGTTGGAAGGTCGGCGAGTGGGAGCCTTCTTTATCCTTTTTCAAGATTGTTTTGCTGGTTGAGGAGCCTTGCAATTCCGTATGACTTTGAAAACCAACTTTCCCATTTTTGTGGGCCAAAAAAAAAGCTGTTGGGATTTTGACAGGGATGGTGACATCTGGAGGTCATTTTGGAGGACTTTGGAGGGTACCAAAATGTTAGTAGCACTAACCCTTCCTGCCTCTGAACATGGGCTGTCTTTCCACTTTTGTAGGGCTTCTTTCAGCAACATTTTGCAATTTTCAGCAGAAAGTCTTCCACCGTATGCCCTGGCAGTCCTACTCCGGGGTGTATATCCAGAAGAAGTGAAAGCAATGTCTCAAACAAATATTCGAACAGCAATAGTTACAGCCTGTTTACGGCAGCATTCAGTGGCGTGCAAAAGGCCTGTGATTCAGTCATAAGAGGGAATAAAATCTAAACATGTGTCACAAAGCGGGCGAACCTTGAAAACACAAGACTGGGCGAAGTCAGCCCGTCATCGGGCAGCGATGGCTCCATTTACTTAGGGACTCAGAATAGACATGCACACGCAAAGCAAGCTGGAGGAGGCTGCCAGGTGATGGGGAGAGGGCAGAGCAAGATGTTAATTCCTGTAGTGGGTTTGTCACCAGATGGGGCCCAAGACTTCTTCCGGTAAGGAGACAGGGACCTCAACCCATTCCCTGCCAAGGGATAGGTAGCAGACGTGTTAACATCCCAGGAAAATGTTTCAGGATGCATCAGTGAGAGGCACAGACCTATTTTATTAGGTAGAATTAAAGAAGTACATGCCCAAAGAAAATAGAGTGCAGGCTAGAGAGAGAGATAGAGAC